TCCGAAAGCTTGATGAGCGAGGTCAGGATCTCCTCGATAATCCACTCCCTCTGGTCATCGTGGTTCGCAAAGATCTGACAGTGGAAAATCAGCACTATGTCAGCTGGGGGAACACGGTAGTACTCACCGCCCGAATCAACGATAGCGCATCGAGCCTTAAGCCGCGCATTGCGCTCTTCCCAAACGTCCGGATAACCGCACTCTCTTTCTCCTTCTTCTTGTCTCCGTCCTCCCCCGCATCAATAACGAAGAACGGCCCGATCGCAATGTAAACAGCTTGGATGATGATCGAGTCGGACATGGCGACAGCTTCGGCATTAACGAGGGTGCTGAGCCGTGGAAGTACGGCCGACAGCGCCTGGAATGTTTCGCTAAGGATGTGGCGGTGGGATCCGATGCGCAGGACATGCTGCAGCATCTCACTGCCCGGGACCGCACCCGCCGACGCCTCGACGAACGGGTAAATGACCTTGGTGAGCTGATTCTTAACCGTGCTCATGCACGCCGTGATGAGCTCCTCCGAGTACAGCTAAAATCGGGGCATAGGTAAACAGTCAGTCATTCAGCCAAATGGCCACACACCTGCTTGGTGAGTCTACCCGCGCCTAACAGCGCAACGCAGCACTCTGCCGCAAAGATGCTGTCGCGCGCCGTATCAAGTGCACGCGCCAACTTCGCGTGGTCCAAGTCCGTCAGCGTCACGGGTCCCTTGGCATTAGTATGATCGACCTCCATTTCCTCCGCCTCGGCTTCATCGCCGCTCTGTGACTTGGACCGCCGCTTGCCCTTGGCCTTTTTCGTCGCAGATTTCCGGGGCGACGCGGGTGCGCTCCCTGGCGCGGCCGCGGCCGGGCCCGTAAACGGGTCCAGGTCCTCGCCGGCCTTGACACTGCGCTCCAGGATCTTGAGAATCCGCGAGAGTATAACAGGGTCCACGTCGGCGAGGGTCTTTTCCTTGGCGCGGCGCGGTGTGTTCCCAGCAGCCGCGTGGCGCACGCGCTTGCCGGGGTGGACGACCTGGGATATGTACTTCGTTAGCTTGCGCACGAGAGTGGGCTGCAGCAGCGGGCGCAAGCAGTCGACCGTCGTCTGGGGCGAGAAAAACTCAGCAGGGAGCGAGAGGAGGTCGATGTCTGGTGGGAGCGCGTCCTCAGCTTCGAACACGTCCTCAAGAAGCGCGGTGAGCTTCTCGAGTGGCAGACGCTCGTCGCGGTCGCCTGTGCGGCGGCCAGAGGTCGCTCGGCCGCCTGAGTGCTGGCGGGGGCTGTCATCGTCAGAGCCATATCCGCCCAAATCGTCGTTCGGAGAGTCAGGAGGGTGCATGGGACGCATCTTGGATTTTGGAGTGGGGACCCACGACTTAGCCGGCACATCGACATATGCCATGGTGACGCGGCGAGAGGGCGTGGAGAGGGTAGATGAGCTCGGGGTCGACAACATGCTCGCGTGCGACTTTGAGGTAGTGCTGGGGGTGATCGGGACTGGGGTGTGTACGCGTTTGACGCTGGGCGAATCGAGCTGGGTGACCGATTTGCGTTTCCGCGGGGTGACTGCCGGAGTAATGGCCAGTGGATCCGGACTCTCCTCGATTGGAGGCGGTCTCTTCTGTGGTGGCGTGGTGGACCGCTCTGGCATAATCTTCAGAGCGGGCTCGACCTTGGGGACGGGACGCGCGATTTCTTTAGATTTTTCAGCAATAAATTGGTCAAAAAAGGCGGGCGACTGCTGTGGCTGATACACCGTCTGTGGTGGAGGTGGGGGAGGTCCGAGAGCATGCGCAAGCGAGGAAGAAGAGGAGGAGGAAGATGGCGGCGGCGGTGTCGGGTAAGCAGTGGCGGGATTGGATCTCTGCAAAATTGCTTGCGCAAACGGATTGGTGCGAAAGGTGGATAGCTGTGCATTGGAAGGTGCATAGGCGGTCGGATATGGATAGGAGCTGGGAGACATTAGTGCTGCTGCATATCCACGGTTTTTCAAAGGCACGTACGGATCGGCCTGCTGAGAAATCATAGCCGCAGCCTCGTTACGGGCAGTCTCCCAGTAGCCCGAGTCGTTTGCTTGAGATGCGAGATAGTCGACTTCCGGAGCGTATTCTGTGTAGGGTGGTGGATTTCCCTGAGGATATGCCGCGTAATATTGAGGCTGGAGAGACGAAGGAGGAGCCCCACTGATAGTTAGGGTGCTTAAATGCCTGGTGACTGGATGGAGGTGAGATACGCGCGTGTACAGTGCGTGAAAATATGACTGACCGTGGGTGGAAGGATTTGCAGAGGCCATTGGATAAATTGCGAGCAGAGAATGAGCCTCCTGGACTGGATCGGGAATCTGCTGCTCTCCCGCGTAGGACGAACCCTGCGCCGCGTACCATGGCCCCGACATTGGCGAGCGCGTCCAGAAGAGGATGATGCCAAGCAGAGTCAAACACCACTTAACCTGTTCCTCAAAGCTCGCGATCGGAACACAGGACTCAGGAGCGCCGGATGGGTCTACGTCAACCGTATTTTCCTCCTCACTGACTCCCGCTGCATTTTTAGGATTCGCACCTGGCCCGGAATCACGGTCTTGCTTTCAACTACATCGTTCTCTGTTCAAGTTTCCTATCTATAGATGGAAAGCTCGGCGGACTCGGAGCCACCCTTCACATTGCAGAGGCAACAGATCTTGTCTCGCGAATGGATTTGGGAGCTCTTACGTATATTCAGACATCTCTGCAGCGGCTTCTCAACTTCAATCACGATTGACTTGGCTATGCGACATTTCTTGGACGAAGAAGGGCTGGTTGAACAGAGAACCCTGTATTCGAGTTCCGGCATTCTGTAGGAGAATGATTACGGTGCGCAGCTGCAATGGTTCGTTTGGATCGACATCATATCCACTGCCGTCTTGTGCAGAGCCACTTGTCCGTTCCTTCGGTTACTTCCCGAGCCTCAGGCTTCAAGTTCAACCTCAGGGCTTTCAAGCCCAGTTCAAGCCTGTGCTGAACTCAAGCTGAACTGATGTCGGCGATGGCAGACATGCTCCCTTGGATTGCTTCCATTCTCGTGCTGAACATCCCGTTTTTGCTCTTCTGGCCTCTCCCGACTTTGGTCCTCCAAACATCCAGAAATTGTAATGAGTACGTGAAACAGTGGACTCGGAATGTGTATAGTAAAACAAACTTCACTACCCCAATCTGCCGTTGTGGGCACGTTTCACCGCCCCGCTGCTGATCTATTATTTACCAGGACTTAGCTTTTAGGCGATTTGCCCTCGTCCGACTTGGATCAAGAATAGGACAACAGACTAGGCCCCCGGACACTACCTATAAAGCCTGTCCGGGCATAGAGTAAATCAACGACCCATTTTCAGGGGTATTTTTTCCGAACCAGCGACCGCCAGAAGTTTTGAACCATCTGGAGCAATGCGCAACGACCAAACTAAGACATCTGCACGGTGGGGAGGCAAAAATCGGTTTTTTTGCGGCGTCCAGGGCCGTATTACCGTCAAAAAATAGAGTAAATCAGTCAAAATCCAGGAAATTTTCCGGACAGGCTTTATAGGTAGTGACCGGGGGCCTAACAGACTTCGCAAAAGTCCGCAGCGCTCCGCAGCTTATGTTTGACAGCCTGTGAAGATCAGAGATCTACACTCCCACGCCTTTCCAGAACGCAACCAGAATGGCTGAATTTTTTTTAAACTAGGACACTCCGGTTCTACGTGGTTAGCGCCCATGCGCTTCCAGCACCTCCGACTTGCACTCAAATATCGCATCGGACCTCTTTCGGCGTCTATCGGGCTCTACTCACCGGTGCTTCGAAAGATTTGACGACAGCTGTGTCCACCGCATCGCAAATCTGAGTTGAAGATGGGTGCACAACGCATGCCTATCGACATGACCGTGGCCGATCTTCAATACCTCCCCGCCCCAGAATAGCCATAGCCTCTTTGAACCTACTCCGAGATCGCCTTCACCACCCTCCATTTTCTATGTATCCCTTGATTCTTTCGGCCTTGGGGGCCGTTGTGCATGTTATGTGCTTCCCGAAATGTCTCTCCGATCTGCCCGCTTGTTTTGTTTCGTTCCTGATGGGGTCTTCTTCAACGACTCTATTCAAGCTTGCGCGCTTCCAAGGTCTCTATAAAGTGGCTCATGAAGCCTACGATGTGTCCGGCAAGCAAGCACAATTACGACGAATCCTTTCCTACAGGGTTGGTTGAACCCTTCCGCCAATCCAACGAACCAAAACACACCTTGGGGCTCAATTCCCTCCGTCTTTGGTGTTCTTCCCTATCCCACTCCCCCTGCCCCGATTCCTACCGTTCCCAGCCTTACCACGTTCACATTCTCGAGTCCCAGCGGTTCGATCCTGAACTCTGTCGTGACCGGCCCACAGTCGCAGAGATTCTTCCGAGTGACCACCGACTCCACGACTGCCGGTTTTTCTGTGGTTCAAAATACTCGGCGCGAGAGCATTGCGATGATCGAATGGCGGAAGCACCCCGTCGTCGAAATTATCGGCACCCTTTCCAAGAGAAACAGTGCGCAGTGGCTCACACTGTCGCCGGATAAAGCGTGCGCAATATTTCTCAATGCTACGATTGATCTTCTTAGACGACCTCCATAGGTACCGACTCATGACTGTTCAAGGGCGCAACTTCAGATGGATGCCAGATGATCGTTATATCTGTGTACGTCCCCTCGTAGTACGACTGGAACTCACTGACACCAGCATCACTTAGTTATACAGCGCGACCACGGCTAACCCGCAGTTCTTTGGCCGAATCTCGCAGAACCAAGAGGGCACGACAATTGAAGTGACCACTGAAGCGCTCCAACTGGGGCTTTTAGAGGTCTTTGTAGTTTCGACGTTGCTGCTAATGTGTGGACGCAACATAGATTGAGCAGTGTCACTGGGTATGGAGATTAGTTTTGCCTCTTAAAGTTGTTGTAGGACTCTAAGCTTTATGGTCACTGTCACTCAAGTAACCTACTTATCGAAAGCGCATTCTGTGTTCACAACGGGGACTGAGTGTAGCGGTAACACGCGCCACCGACAGAAGCCACCAGTATGGTTCAGGCCTGGCCCGCCTGAGCACGAGGTGAGAATTAACGTGTGGGGCGAGCCGGAGGTTCGATTCCTCCAGTCTCCATTTTTTGCACCTTTTTGTGGCCGGGGGATACGCTCAATTGCAAAGAGTCAAGCCTGGACAGTGGGACTCCGACTGTGGAGAAACTCAACCTGCATGCTAAATGGACAAACGGAGGTGTTAGGGTGTGCGTTGGCGATTGGTTGGCGACATGACCCGTACTCGCATCAACGGTTTCAACGTATTGCTCCCGAGGTTCAACACCTCACACCGTTCAAGCATGTTCAGATCGCATTACTACAGATCCAAGACTGCACTGCACCCATACAAAGTGCATATCCAAAACAAGTTGTCGCACCTTGATAGCTCGGGTATAAATTAAATAATGTGCATTCGACCAATATTCAGATGTTCATCGCGTTGTATCGGTACGTCCTACCGATGTACTCGTCCTACCGAGATAAGCCAGTTGGTACATGTATACTCCAGGGCTTTTGGTAGTGCAATTTTTACAGGAGATACAGACAAGATGCCAATGCAGACTTTGTTCACAATAGAAGGAAGTGGGTAATTTCTGGGAAGAAAGTGATGGTCGCGCGGCCTCAACCTTTAATGATTGTGTATCGTGTGAGTGACGATTGTAGGCACCTCCGGGAATCGAGGAGTGATTTCGCATGTGAAAGGCAATGGCCGTCTAATGAAAAGCCCATGTCAATATAGGTTCTTGACGCCCAAACACAGAACTTGCAATATGAGACTTCCATCATGATCGGGCTTGGAGGAGGGCAGTTGGACATTTCCTTCATCGTCATGAGTCGGTCCGATATTGAAGCTCCAAAGTATGGCTGCAACTTCAAGGAATAATGTTCGATTTGCAACGTGTCGGCCGACACAAATTCTATACATACACGTTAGGCAAACTTCCGTAAAACTTTGCAGGATTCTTACCGTTTACCAAATCCATAAGAACAGTGACTCTCTTTCTTTGTATCTTTTGGCGCTGGTTTTAGGTTCCCGTCCGCGTCGAGATGCCTCTCGGGCCGAAATGTGTCTGTATCTTGACCATAGATGGCGGGGTCGTGGTTCAAACCCCTGCCAACGTATAATGAAAAAAATCGTATCTAATCGACGCGACGGGTGCATACCATATATTGACGATCATGGTGCTATCTTTCGGAAGAAAATATCCTTCATACCAGTCATCTTGACAGAGCCGATGCGGGAGACCTGGGGATAAATTCCATTTCTTTAGCCGGTGGGGTTCTTCAAATACACGCACCAAGAGGAAGAACTGTTCTCCATCGCAAAAGCTCTTTTACAATTGCCCTTATATAGGGCAATCGATCGTAATCTTCCAGCGACGGCATCCGGCCACGTCCAACCACATCTTCTAGCTGGAGGTGCGCCGCCTTTTGGACCTCTGGGTGGAGTATCATGCTAACCATGAACCACTCCATTTGACCTGCACTCTACACATCATCAAATTTGCATCCGGATTAAATGATAATGAAAAAAAAAACCGTCTCAGCACCAGCGGCACTGTTGTGTATAGATTAAGCTAGTCGTCAAAATAAAGGCGCAGATGTCTTACTATAGAGTAGCTGTCAACCAAGCCGAGTCACGAACGGAGAGTTGGTCCTCCTTGTGATTTTCTATCAGTGTTGCAGCAACGCTCGGACTGTCGTCTCCTTCTTTCTGAGCGGTAATCTCGGTCATGCACCGATGTTTTGAACGACAGAAAACAGCATACCATTCGCTTTTGCACATCTGAAAAAAATCCTGTCAAAATCACGGAATCCTTCTCGTACCAGAATTCAGCATAGCGCCTCCATGGAGACATCCAACGGGGAAGATGTTCCAGCCAGGTGAGATATTCTACTAGAAAAGCACCAGGAGGAGGAGGAGGAGGAGGAGGATATATTACTGCGGTGGTCCCAATAAGGAACAAGCAGGTACTGTACCGACGTACAATGTGTCCTTTGTACGCTACAGTCATCAACCGCCCGATCGCTGTGAACATCTACCTAGCTGCGATTAGCCAGTAGAGTCTCACGATAAAGCTAAGAAGACGGGTAATTAAACTCTACTGTCCAGGGATTCGGAAAATGACGGGGAAGTATAATGGGAACTCTTGAAAGAGATTGAGGACGAGAAAGATGTACTTCGCGAAGGATTGAATAGCTTTCCTTGATGCAATGAGTTTCAGCATGAAGTCGTACGTCGACATCTCCATGTACGACGCGCGCATCACCGGATCACAGAAAGTCAATGAATCCAGGAAGCGCGCTCGCAGCTCCAGCAACCGAGGATTAGCAACGCAATCGAAGAGCGCATGTACCTCGTCCTCCACCGCCCCCCGACAGGAGCTGCTGCGCCCAGTACACGATCCACGAATTGTTGAATTTCCGCGATGATTGGATCGTCGGAGTCAGCGATCGCCTTGCCGTAGATAATTGACATTACAACGGAAGCACTAGTCCGTTTGAGATGACTATCGAAAAGAAGAGGAGTCTTGAGCATTTGATCGATGAGGGACACAACCTCTCGTTCTTGAAGAGCGTGGTAGTTTTTGGCCACCTGAGGCCCTAATGCGCTGAGGGAATAATCAGTAGCTTTCTGTACTAGGATAGAGGATTCTTGCTCATGAGAGGCCCTTCGCATGCGCCGCCACATTGGAGTGACCTGTACAAAGGCAAAAGCTAGGTCGCCAGTGAGGATCCGAGTAACGATATTGCGAGGACGGTCAGAATAGAGGCCCGAACGACGGTCCAGGAGGTCAGCAGCCACCTTGTGGCTGCCCAAAATGATTGTATTCTGACCAGCAATGTTTATGCGGCAGATCGGGCCTACCAAATGTTAAAACGCAACCGAAAGACATGTGTTTTGTTTCACCGTATGTTTGAGTCCAGCTTGTGAAAGTTATCCAGGGATATCTTCGAATCTGGTGGATATTTCCGATGATAGGTAGTTGCCAAGGGCCTGGTGGTCGAAGGTCTGGCCTCAATATCTTGGATAATTGCCGGTAAACAAAGAAGTAAAACCCAAGAATAAGCGCGAGGCGTTCAAAGTTGAACATGGGGGGAAGGATGATTTAGGGAGCGGAAAGGAAGAAGTCGACCTCACTGTCTTTTATCCGATGTTAATTGTGGGTCCAGCCACGTTGCATAGGTTGGGCCTAAATCAAGCCCCCAGCCGCAAAAGACGAAGGGAGCTTTTTTTGGAACTTCTGATACTAGTAGGTTCTGTTACATCAAGACATTGTCGGTTCAGTGAGGTCCAGGGTTACCTCAGGCATCCACGATCTATCCTTCTCCCAGAACTGATTGGAGGTGCAGCTTCAAACCGAGGATAAGGTTCACTGACTACCGCGGACCTGCGTCATCATAGCCGCATGCAGAGAACGCCTGAAACCTGTACTTACTAGTCTTGTACGGAAGGAAGGAAGGAGCATTTTGACCAATCGAGGAACGTAGCTGGGTCCGGGCGAAGGACCAGGTCAAGACTGACAGGTCCAATTTTAGAATTCTTGACTCTGGAAATTGCCCTCGCCTCGCCTCCACGGTGACCTGGTCCACGCGGCCGTGCAACGCCACCGCCCCGGGTCCTTCTTGTCCTTCTTCGTTTCCCTTGCGAGATTGTGGTAACCCCGCTGCGTCGCGGCGCTGCCCCTGACGGTAAAGAGTGCCTGAGTTCTTCAGTGTGGCATGTGCTGGGATTGAAACATGGGCAAGGCCGCACACGAAGCACGTAACTAAGCCCAGATTCGCACCCGAGATATGTCTGCGACATCGCCTCTTGACTACATACCTCAGGGATTGGTTGGGGATCAGGGGCGGCAAAAAGAAAGAAAATAATGTTAAGATGTTATCCGTGTACAATGGACTCAGGACGCGACGACCGGAGGTCGTGTGCACGCAGGTGCACGCACCTGGGAGGACTGCTGTGTTTTCAGGCAGTGCGCCTCATGCCTATACGCCACAGATACGCTTAAATGCAGCATGAAGAGCCAATACCAGGGGCTACGCGCCACGATACGCTGCAGCGAGGGCGGCGGACCAGGACCGCCGGCGGTGGTAGTCTCCCTGAGGCAGAGTAGCTCAATTCCTTCGAACCTTCGTGCCTCAGGATATCCTTGATCTGACGTCTGCTTTTTGATCTCGGTTCTTAACGGTTCCTTGATTTTAAACTCCGTTGATCTCACGTGTTGGCCACGCACAACCAAATACTCACCGCGTCATCCGTTCGTTTACGCGTCTCCGAGGTGTATTTCAGGCGGAAAAAAATCAAAGTGTCACTAAAAGAATGAATATCGCCATAATGCAGGCTTCAAACGATGTTTGAGAGCGTCAAAATGACCATTTGACTTTTATATCTTATTTGTGGCAGTCGACGAGAAATTGGGATGCCGCAAAGGACAGTAGAAGGTCGGGACAACGACTCGAAGGGCCAAAATATCTTTGAGATTGACATTGGGTCAAAAAACCACGAGGACTATGATTTATGAGTGAAAGAGTCACGTATATAGGTCCAAATGCAGAAATAGAATATTCGTAACCACATCGTAGATTCCAAATTTTGTAGATCTCCGGCGTAGGTTTGTCGAGTTTAGCACAGTTACCACTTAGGGTGGCTAGGCTTGATCCTACGACGGACAGAAACCGAGCAATGGTCGAAATACCAGCCAAAAATTGATGTATCGGCTATGTAGCAGCTTGCAGGATGTTCTATTGAGTCATTCAAAATAATAATCGTTGCAGAATACTCACAGGATACCCAGTTCAGCCACCACTACGTTCCACCCTCGTTCCTGGGGCCACCACGAAGCCCCAGGAACGAGGTGAGCACAAGGCACCGGATCGGTGTCCAGTCGTCGATTTCCGTCACTGTATCTCATCCCAGGCAAGTTTTCAGGGATTCAAGTAGGTGGGGAGATCGTATGGGGTCGCCGGAGTTGTGTAAGGAAGGTGAAATGCATGGGTTCTTGAGTTAGAGGTTGTCAGCTAGTTTCGACATTGTGAGGCTGGTTCTTGAAGCTGTGGTGTAGTTTGAGAAGATCAGATAGT